GCATTCTTTTTAAGATTTGTGTCTCTGGTACCTATTTGGTCATGATCAGCTGACAGGGATTGAAACTTGAAAGTTGCCCAGTGTGTGAGAGAGGCAACCCATTTGTGTCTTTCTCCTTTAACAACTCAGTTGCTTGTCCCATTCTGCAAAGAATCCATTTGCTTCAAGCTCTTTGTGCATTTTTGACTTGTCATATAACTGTCTCCTGCTAACTGACAAGTCATTCAAATATGGTCATCCTTAGTATATTCCAGTTGCTTGACTTAAATATTTAAATTATATCTGAGAACATTCCTTTCATAGCCGTAGTGCCATTTTCCAAGCAATTGTGTCTAAAGGTCTGTCTCACCCAGTTGTTTTGCTAAGGGCATTGGAAATTTTCCTCACTATTACTCTGTCAAGGATGTTGTTCATAGTGTACTTTTGCGAGCAGGTTGTCTATCTCAGTGGCATTAGAATGTGCAAGATACAGTGATGTAAATGAGCCATCTATGAATGTACTCACAAATTGCTGATGCATAGCTTCTTTTCTTTTTAAAAGTTCACTGAGGAGTTTCCAGCCTGTAAATTCAAAAAGTATTATTAATGATAAAGCATGGCCTCTTAACATTTCTATTCTTGCCACTAAAGTGAATAATCTCACATTTCTCCACACAGATAATCTGTCAATTTGTTTCCCATTCTCCTAAACTATCTGTATCTACTTGGAATCACTTTGCGTCTATCTCAGCTTGTATTCCCACCTGGCTTTGTATCACCAGCAAATAGAGAGATTATTCTTGGTCTCTTTGTCATTAATATAGATTGTAATTAGCTATTGGCCCATCTTCATGAAACGTTGCTCGTTATTGCTTGCCCCACCTTGAAAGTGCCTCATTTTTCCCTCCTGTGCCTCCTATCCAATGCCAAGACATTACCTCCAACTTCAGGAGCCCTTAACCTAGTATTAACCTTTGTGTGATCCCTTATCAAATTTATGATCCTTATAGAGATCAATAACTTTGAAGAGAACATGTGAACATCTAGTGACTATCTGGGGGGACAAGAAGATTTAAAGTTTTGAGATTTTTACTGATTAAAAACAGATTAAAAACAACATGTAAGTAACCAATTGATCATAACCCAGCTGTATTTAACACTACAAAAACTTTCCCCAGTTAACTTCCAAAACAATGGAAAATCTTCCGCCAAACTTACAAGTTGTGGTGTCTCTTAAGTAGATATTTTATTCTCTCAGAACCAGTCCAAAGCGTTCTTTGCTACCAGTGGCTTGCTTCTTCTTACTTTCCGAGCTGAGTAATTTCTAATTCCAGAACTCTGGAGATTTCTTTCCTTTTGCTCAAGTTCATCATGTCTCCCAGCCTTTTTCAACTTGTCATGAACGTGATCCCTTAATTATGAATGTGACTTCCACTGTGTTCTGCCTGGTAAGCCTAAAGATTAGCATTTTCTCTGCCTCAGATCCAGGACTTGCTGCTGCTGTTTTCTTCTCTCTGCTGTCCCTCTGATTCTTGCAGCCTGACTCTTTTCTGTCTGTTCAGTGATATTTGGAAAAACCCTGCAATTTGATACTACAATGATTTTCCATGAACTCTTCCCTTCTCATGACAGTGTGCATCACATGGGGCATGTAGCCACATAGTCTGATTAGCTACTTTGGAGAGACCAAACGCCATTTATTTCTTTGTATTAAATGTACATTTTGAGAATAATCTGATGCAAAACCTGACATTCCTGGCATCTTTGTATGAGACTTGGAGATGATGACAGTTTGCACACAGCCAGTACAGATGCACTTGCCCTTTCCACAGGTGTGAACATTTTGCATTGTCTTAGTAAGTCTCTTGCCTTTGACCCATAAGACCTAGGAGCAGAAATTAGGCCATTCGGCCCACCAAGTCTGCTCCGCCGTTCAGTCATGGCTGATAAGTTCCTCAACCCCATTCTCCTGCTTTCTCTCCGTAACCCTTGATCCCCTTGATAATCAAGAACCTCTCTATCTTAGTCTTAAATATACTCAATGACCTGGCCTCCACAACCTTCTATGGCAGTGAATTCCATAGATTCACCACTGTCTGGCTGAAGTAGTTTCTCCTTATCTCCATTCTAAAAGGTCTTCCCTTTACTCTAAGGCTGTGCCCTCGGGTCCTAGACTCTCCTACCGAGGGAAGCATCTTCCCAACGTCCCCTTTGTCCAGGCCATTCAATATTCTGTAAGCTTCAATTAGATTCCCTCCTCATCCGTCTAAACTCCAACAAGTATAGTTAGAGAGTCCTCAGACCCCTCCTATTGCATCCAAGTTTATTGTTGGGCAAAATTCAGAGTAGGCTTTCTGTTCATTCCTTCATTTTATCTTTAAAAGCAACAGCCTCAAAACACCTCAGTGTTATAAAATGTGTATTGGTAACAAGGACCCCCTTAATGTAGCATCATCCTGACAAACGATGTCAGACTAATTAGCTTATAATTGCTTGTTTTATCTCTTTCTTCGTATTGCATAGTGGTGTCATATTTGCTGACTTGCAATTCATTGTGGCCATTCTGGAATGGAATATTGTAACTGGTGTATTAATTAAATTTGCAGTTATTCCAGTTAAAATCTTACTATTTACTGGTCAAGAGCACTGAAGAAACCTGAAAGGACTAAAATCTGACAGATCCCCAGAGCAGATGCCCTAAGCCAAAGATTTTAACTGGAAAAACTGTAAATTTAATTAATACACCAGTTACAATATTCCATTCCAGGATGGCCACAATGAATTGCAACTGAGCAAATAAGACACCACTATGCAATACGAGGGAAGAGATAAAACAAGCAATTATAAGCTAATTAGTCTGACATCGTTTGTCAGGAAGATGCTACATTAAGGGGGTCCTTGTTACCAATACACATTTTATAACACTGAGGTGTTTTGAGGCTGTTGCTTTTAAAGATAAAATGGAGGAATGAACAGAGCCTATTTCTGGTTTTACTTTTCACGTGACCTCCCCACGCCCCTAATTTAAAACCCTTTCCATGGCCCTAGTTATATGATTTGTTAGGGCACTGATCCCAGTCTGGTTTAAATAGACTCATTCCAGCAGAACAGCTCCCTCTTCCTAAAGCACTTGACACCAGTGTCCTATGAATCATCACTTTTTCTTCCCTTGCTTACTCTCTTATCTGATTGATCTTATGTCAAGTGGTGGCTAACTTGGGTAACAGTCCAGATGTTATTGCCTTTGAGGTCTGTGTTTTAATTTGGACTCCTCAAACTCTCTAATCAGAATGTGATTCCTGGTTAATACATGAACCTGAATAACTGGATTCTTCTTCATCCATTCCAACTTGTATCCAGCCACAGGGAGATGTTTTTATCCCTGGCAGAGGGCAATCATTAGACACTTTGGAATGGCTAGTCAATATTACAGAGAACAAAATCTAACCCACTGGCTCTACTTTCCCCTACCACTGTCACATTTGTTTTAATTCCCTTCACTTGTTATCTTGCTGCAGCAAGCCATTCACCCTGAAGTTCTTGCTCTCATTCACAAAAGTAGCAGGTACTTCATATCTATTAGTCACAATCCAAGAACTGAGGCTTCTTCATGACAGCTTGGATTCCTGCATATGCCTTACTCACTCACAGACACAACTAGCTCTCCCTGAACGTTGACCAATTCTAAAATCCTACTTAATAGAAGCTATGACTACCCTTTGAAATGTGTCCCGGTAGCTCACTTCCTCCCTGGCATCTCCCATTGCCTCAGACTCCAGTTCAAAAACTCTGAGCTGAAATTACTAGAGCTACAGACATTTTCTGTACTCAAGGTTGTACAAGATTGTGACATTTGTCCAAACCCACAGCTGTTAGTAATACAGCGTGCATTTTACTAGTTAGGTCCGTCTATACTTAATGATTAATTTCATTTGTTAATTAGCTCCTGTTTTAATAAAGTAATAACAACTTGCAGTCTTGTCATTTCGTAGTATAGAATTTGAGTGTTGCTGAAAAAAGATTCATTTCGTTGAAGCTTTTTGTTACGTCCTGATCGGTGCAAATTGTGACAAATATCAAAGTGAAGGGAATATCATGTGTATTGTACAAGGGGAGAGTGCGGATTGGTTGACAAATGGAGTCTGGTAGAGGCATTGCCATGGTGAATGAGCCAGCTAACAACTGACAGTTCAATGCCATACTTTGTTTATTGGTCAAGACACAATCCTGAGAAAGCAGAAATAACCTGCCTGGTTTAAAATTAAAGCAAAGAGGGTTGAGGGGGTAGTTGGAAGAGATTAAAAAGGAGGGGTGAGGCCATGAAGGGATTTGAAAATAAGTATATGAATTTTAACCTCAAGGTATAGCTTAAATAGGATTCAGTGTAGGTCAATGAGCAGAGGGTGATAAGCGTACAGCGTGTTGTACAAATTAAGGTACAGTAGGGATTTAGATACGCTCAGGCAATGTAGGGTAGACTGTTAGATGCTAGCCAGGATTATATTGAATCATTTATCTTTAAAGTTTACAAAAGAGGATTCAGTAGTTGGTGAACTGAAGCAAAGTGGAGTAGCACAATATTACAGAGCAGGGAATAAGCCTTCTTCTGCAGACGTGAGGTCAAAAGTTCATCCAACGTTGTGAACCAGCTGGTTCAGCATCAAACATTTTCCAATACTCGGGAGAGAAGTTTATAGCAGGATCAAAAACTTAGGTTGCCCTAGTATTTAATTAGAGGAAGTTCTGTTCACCCAACATAGATGTGGAACACGCAAAATCATAATTTTAGAGACAGTTGAAAGGGCTGAGAGAAGTGGTATTGACGTTCCACAGACCTAGATGAAGTTTTAAACAACACTGCACTATAGACCACTGAATCAGGTCAGCGTTATAATACAGAGATGGGGTCTAGGCCCGAAACGTCAGCCTTCCTGCTCCTCTGATGCTGCTTGGCCTGCTGTGTTCATCCAGCTCTACACCTTGTTATCTCAGGGTTATAATACAATTGCTCTCTATTTCAGATTGATGATGCTGATGCTGTTGAAGACATTCACTCATTGTTGACAGATGCTCCCACACCAGCCGGTAAGCAAATAGAAAAGTATTAGCATAACAACTTAGTTAACGTTGCTTTTATAACAAAAGCTTTTCTTTATCATTTTCTATTTCTCTGCGATTTCATTTCCTAATAGTCTTTTGCAGTTGCTGAGAAAAGACATTTTTTCAAAATTTTTCATCTTGCACTCATCAGGACAACTGGCAAGATTCCTAGTGTAAAGGCAAAACAAATTTATACAATACAACAAATGTAGGAGAAGAACGTGCTGATTGGTTGACAAGTGTACTGTAGTTGGCGCATACTGTGCCATGGAGAACACACCAGTTAAATGATGTCTGACAGTTTACTGTCAAGCTTTCTTCTAATTTAAACCAAGAAGGTTGACACTGATTGGCCATAGCATTGCCCTGAGGATTGAAACACAGTGGCTGACACGTATTTTCTTAAGTATAAACAGTGTTTATGTTCTTTATGACTGCAAAGAACAAGGCCCTGTATATAAAATAAGTAGCTTCCATTAGTTTAGTTTGGGAGTATTGTTGACCTGGACCAGTTGGACCGAAGGGTCTGTTTCTATGCTGTATGACTACACATCTCTGACTTTGACTACAACAAGCTCAATCCTGACAGTTGTAAAATTTCTTGTCCATGTAAAAATTGGCCATGATTCCAGCACTAACATCAAACTAGCACTGCAATTCACTACTTTACTCATTTGTGTGATAAGCAGAATGGCTGAAGTAGCCTGGGCGTTTTTCAGGACCTCATGGCAGCCTTAGGCTTGTTTGTGAGTTTTTGCAATATATAGCAGGAAATATTCAAACTAGGATAGCTGCTATCTCACAGACAGGCTTTAATATGTTCTCTTTGAGCATCAGGTTTACAGGGGGAGCCAATGGTTTGGGTCCTTTTTCTGACGTTGCCAATAAGGCCAAATCTTGTAGCACGTGGAACTGTAGAGATAATGTATATTGACTAATAAAGATGGGCTACTGTGGTAGTCGGTTATAGAGAATTGAAGTGGATTAATCAACTCGCGCAGCAAGGAAAGGGAACTCATTTGACTACTCCATTTCAAAACTGAATTTGAGCACAAGATGGAGCTCATTAAGATATCCAAGAAAATTCTTGCATGCCGCTGCAGATTCAAATATAGCAACCATACCATCCACTTACCAGAAAAGAGCAATGGGTAGGAGTTTAGGTGTTAAGTGTGAGGTCATCCATTTTGGTAGGAATAACAGCAAAATGGACTACGTTTTAAATGGTAAAAAATTGCAGCACGCTGCTGTGCAGAGGGACTTGGGTATTCTTTTGCATGAATCGCTAAAAGTAGGATTGCAGGTGCAGCAGGTAATTAAAAAGGCAAATGGAATTTTGTTCGCCATTGCTAGAGGGATGAAGTTTAAAAACAAGGAGGCTATGCTGCAGCTGTATAGAGTCCTGGTGAGGCCACACCTGGAGTACTGTGTGCAGTTTTGGTCTCCTTACTTGAGAAGAGATATACTAGCACTGGAGGGGCTGCAGAAGAGATTCACTCGGTTGATTCCAGAGTTGAGAGGGTTGGATTATGAGGAGAGACTGAATAGACTGGGATTATACTCATTGGAATTCAGAAGAATGAGGGGAGATCTTATAGAAACGTATAAGATTATGAAGGGAATAGATAAGGTGGAGGCAGGGAGGTTGTTTCCGCTAGCAGGTGAAACTAGGACTAGAGGGCATCGCCTCAAAATAAAGGGAAGCAGATGTAGGACTGAGGTCAGGAGGAACTTCTTCACCCGAAGGGTTGTGAATCTGTGGAATTCCCTGCCCAGTGAAGCGGTTGAAGCTACCTCGCTGAATGTTTTTAGGGCAAGGCTAGATAAATTTTTGACCAGTAAAGGAATTAAGGGTTATGGTGAGTGGGTGGGTAAGTGAAGGTGAGTCTCAAAAAGATCAGCCATGATCTTATTAAATGGCAGGGCAGGCTCAAGGGGCCAGATGGCCTACTCCTGCTCCTAGTTCTTATGTTCTTACGTTAATTCCATTGAAGATTGGGTTCCATGAGAAACCTATGAAAATGTTTGTGAGGACTGGGCCTGTAGGGGTTCCAAAGCAGCACCGTTTCATTTGGGCATTCATAGTGTTGTTAAAATGTACTCGGCTGCACAAGATGGTTGGCTAATAGGTTCAATATATACTGATCCCCACAATGTATCTGGATCGCCATGCTATATTGTTGCTGTGCAGTGCCTCTATCAATCTGAATCCATTTGCTATCCAGTCAGTGTTCACTTTTTTCGTTCAGAATAGAATATTGTTCCCTGTTACAGGATGTGGAAGCATTGGAAAGGGTGCAGAGGAGATTTACCAGGATGTTGCCTGGTATGGAGGGAAGGTCTTATGAGGAAAGGCTGAGGGACTTGAGGCTGTTTTCATTAGAGAGAAGAAGGTTAAGAGGTGACTTAATAGAGACATACAAGATGATCAGAGGATTAGATAGGGTGGACAGTGAGAGCCTTTTTCCTCGGATGGTGATGGCTAGCACAAGGGGACATAGCTTTAAATTGAGGGGTGATAGATATAGGACAGATGTCAGAGGTAGGTTCTTTACTCAGAGAGTAGTAACGGCGTGGAATGCCCTGCCTGCAACAGTAGTTGGATAAACATATGGATGATAATGGAATAGTGTAGGTTAGATGGGCTTCAGATTGGTTTCACAGGTCAGCGCAACATCGAGGGCCGAAGGGCCTGTGCTGCGCTGTTACGTTCTATGTTACATTGGCATTCTTCTGAATGTCCTGATGGTTATAAGACAAAAACCTTGGACAAATGTATCCTTTACAAGCCATACTCAAGTTTTGTACAACAAACGATTTTTTTATACAAATGTGGACAGAAATTGAAGGTCCGCTGGATGTTCCACGTGTACGCATGAAAATTACCTGTCTTTGCTCAGCTGTGCCTTTTTAATTAGATTTGTACTTAGTATTCTTGACTTGTGTTTTATGTTTTGTTTATTTCATATTGACAGGCTTTTACAGTTGCAATACAGAAACTATGCCTGGGATCAACAATTGGACATCTGATTTACAGGTAAATCTGTAAAGCATTTGAAAAAGCTAAGAGTGGGTGAAATTAGAATGTGTTTCATCTTGTTCTGCTCATAACATGGGTACCAATGACTTCCTTCTGGGACAGTTGGCAGTGACAGGCCTGTTTTACAGACCACTGCTGTCTAGATGTGATGGCTGTTAGTAAGTTTCACACAGGCAATCATCATTTAATTTTAAGAGATTGCATCTGAAAATCCTGTGCAGCTTCAGCTCCATTAGTTTGCATTTGGAGGCTGAACGGTTGAGTAAAAAAAACATAGATTACCTGTCTCCGAGAAGGCAGCTTCCACTAGCAAACTGTGTATCTGCAACAAATTCTTAACTTGGCCAAAGTTTCTGTTTTATTGTCTGCATTTTCCTCCTTGTGCCATGTTCTCCATTCTGTTGATTGTGTCCTCGTTTGTACATTGAAAATGAGCTGCATTGAGACTGCAAGTTATGTAACATTCTAACACAAAACATAGTGACTCTGGTGCCTAATTTAGATGATTAATAGTAAATATTCGTTTTTTTAAAAACCATCCTTTACCCTTCCAGGCTATTTGAGGTAGACTGGGCATTTTTCAGGACCTCAAGTGGCAAGAAATAATCTGACCGGAGTGGCTATCATCTCACGGGGTAGCTTTGATACACCCTGTCAGGTTTACAGAGTGAGCAAATGGTTTGGGCCCTTTTCCTGAGGTTGTCAGTAAGGCTAATTTTATGGCATTTAGAATTCCAATGTGCCTGTTGACCAGTAAAGAGAGGCTACTGTGTTAGAAAGTAATAGAGAACCTGAGGGCAGATTGTTTGATGAGCACAAGAAGAAAAGGGAGTTCATCTGACTGCTCAGCTGAATCGAATGCAGGATGGATCCTATTAAGATATCTAAGAAAATTTGTGCATCCATCTGGGCATACAGGATAGGAGGAATATCTTAAATGTTGCTATGTGTAAACAAAAACAAAGTGAAGTTTTGGGACAACATGTTTTCTCTAAGATATTTTGATAATTCAGCTAGTTGTAAGTGCTATAAAAGGAAGAATCTGTTATCAATCCTTAAAACAAAATTCCAACTGTTCCTTCAAGGCTTTGCATATAGACCATTGCTTTGGTGTGAAAGGTGATTGTTCAAATGCAAAACTATGTTTGGCTAGTCAGCTGTCTACTGCTCTGTTAATGGAGGGTATTAGTTTGGTAAATAGAAGCAAACACAGCTAGCAAATTAACTTAGAACACCGTTTGTGTTTGTATGCAGTGAAAGTGGTGGATAACCTGCTCAATCCAGCTAAATGGTCAGCATACACCATGCAGTGAATGGAATTTTTTTTAAGAGTAAATTTTTTATTTTACAACACATCTGTGACAATTTTATTCCATGACTAGCTTCTGAAGTTAATCTGTAATTATAGTAATTTTACCTTTCCTATTTAAAACTTGTCCTAACTCTTCATAATTGAAATGCCCTCATCCCAGTTTCTTCAATCCCTCCTACTACTTCAACTTTCTGTAGTTTCTTAGATTCTGCCTGACTCTACATTCCTGAATAAGGAAAATAAATGTTTTTAAAGCAGTGAATACATTGTTATTCAACTCGACATTGAAATATTTTGAAGTTGTCGTGAACTGTTGGAAAGTACAATACAGCATATAAACAGAGATGTTACTAGTCTAGAAGAGGGTTCTCTTGTCATTTGAGGACATTTATTTAAATAATGTCTTATTGTTTGAAGTAAACAATGCTGTGCATTTGACACACGAAAGCTGCAAAAAATCATATAAAGTTTATAGCCAACTGGCATTTTGTTTCTGTGCCAGCTGACAATCAAGCCTCTGAGCGCCTAATCCCACCATCTGGCACTTGGACCATTTATCAGCAAACTGTGCAGTGCTGCAATTCTTGTAATATAAGAATATTTTCATAACCCTTACAACCCACGCATGCAATTCCGATATTTTGTGTTTTGTTTCATGCAGTCTTCTTATATTGTTCTTGTTGAAAGTGTGGCAGACTGTAGTAATTGTTAAATATTTTTGCATATTATTTTTTCTTTCAAGCATTCTTAAAGAATGAGTGCACCCCATTTTGGGAATGTATTTTCAAATACTAAAGTTTGAAGGCTCAGTGTTTATGAACTTGACATTCGTTAGAATGTTACTAGCCATACCTTGATCAATTAATATTTATGGCCTTTTTTCATAACTGAATGTACCTGTTACTATGACTAACTTGTTCTTTTCCCTCTCCTTTTGCTTCTTAGATGTTCACTTCAGTGAGAGTGTTCCGATTAAACAATGTTACTAGTCTCACATCGCACGGACTTAATAAAGCTTTTAGTGATCTTTGTGAAAATCTGCTGAAGGTAAGAGCCTGGAAATCGTGTAAGGAAAACTACATAATTGCAACTACTTTAAGATTGAAACACATTTTTCTCGAAAGGGGAGGCAAGAAACAAAAGCTATTTTGTTACTATATAGCCCTGTAAGTACCCCTTGCTTTCTCAGACTTCCTCCAGCTCTACAATTCTCCCTGGACCCTCTGTTCCCTTAATTCCAACCTCTTGTACAACCCCTTTCCCTATTATTGGTGGTCGTGGCTGCAGCCTACATTCTGAAATGCTCTTCTAAAATCTCTTTCACTCCCTTGTTCTCTCAAAAGACCTTCTTAAAATCTACATCTTTGTCCATGCTTTTAAAGCCAAAGGAAGGGATTTTAGATTTCCCCTCCAAGCCACACACTATCCTCTCTTGGAAATCTATTGCATTCCTTCTCTGTCACTGGGTTGAAATCTGGAATTCCCTCCCTAACGCATTGTGGATCTACCTACTGCACATGGGAAGGTAGCTCGTCATCACCTTCTTAAGAGCAAGTAGGGACAGAAAATAAATGTTTGCTAGCCAGCAGCGTTCACCATCCACAAGTGAATGAAAGAAATTAAGTTTATCCTGTTTCTACAGGGTGCAGTTGTGGCACAATAAACAATGGAGTGATGCTTTAAGGTATTAGGAGGTTTTACGTGTATATAATGCCATATTTATTTTCTAAAATTTTCCAGACCCTATATTTTAAGCTACGATCCATGGTACCTTGCTGTCTTTGTCACGTGAATTTCAATGTTGCACTACCAGAAGATGAGTTAATCCAGGTACATGTACAGTATACTGCCATTATTTATTACAGTGCTTAATGATTCAATGTATGTAATATAAATTGTAGTTTTCATTCACATTTGTTTGAATTTGTAGGTTGCCGTTACAGCTGTTGCAATAACATATGACAAGGACCAAGCCCAGTGCATTGCTAAGGCTTGTACAGACAGGACCCTCCTGAAAGGTGAGGTATTTCTTCGACATTGATTACTAAATAGCAGTTTAAAAATCCAGATTTATTGCTACATCTAGAAATGATCCAGAATCTCTTGACGACAGAGTATTGTTTCTCGGTGCACCATAAAATGGTTTGGATAGCTGATTCTTTCATTTAGAATTCGAATTAGATTTTATTGGCACATGTACTCAAGTACAGTGATACAAGAGTACGGTGAAAAGTGTACAAAGTCACCTTTCTCTAGCGCCATCTTCGGTACAAAAAAAACAGAATTAACAGAAACAGCCACCTTAGATACCAAACTAAAACAACCATTTTAGATACAAAAAAAATTGAAGAATAAAGCAAAAACAGAAATACGAGAAACAGAGCCATGAAGAAAGGGAAATGTCCGTATCTTAAAGTCTTATCTCCATAAGGTAAATGGGCCTCCATCTCTGAAGCCACAAGTCATTGCTAACTTGCTCCTCAATTGCAGTAGCTTTGTCCGATCCTGCCACCGCCAGCCCCGGAACTCACTCCACGCCTGATGCTGCCACTGCCTACCTCCTGAACCCGTGCATCAATCCCTGCCTGTTGCTGCTATTCGAATGCCTCTTCCAAGCTGCAGAATGTTTCAAAGAAAAAGAAAGAAGAGCAAATGTAAAAGAAGACAAAAAAAGAAAAACAGATGGAAGTAGATGAGCCCCGGACTCAGCAGCCGGAGCGCTGCACTGCTGTTCCGCTGCCTTGGAATCACGAGAAATTTAATGTCATCACATCAGCATTGAAATAGTATCCACATGCAAGCACCTGTGAAGCCAAAGTTCTCTTAAAACCTTGGGAAAGATTGTTAGGTTCATCAACTTCTGATTTTGTAGATGAATTTAGAAGTACAACCCTGCCTTTTAGCATTGAACAGTGCTTAAGAGATATCCAACCTGACATTGTACTACCAACAAAATTAGTTTCCATTTCCGAAACTTCTGGGTATTCAGACTGCAAAGTTTTGCATGTTACTGTATTATAAATTCACACGACTTGCTTAGTTTACCTAATTTTTTTCCACTTTCATTACAAACTATTTCAAAGACTCGGATTTTTTTCAGGAAGAAAAATCTCTGCCTTTTGTATGTCGTAACATTTTTCTAATGTATTGCTTCAGATACTTGTAACACTCACTCACATTGTGATATTCAGGATTATATTTCATTGTGTTCTGAGTGCAATGTAAAGTTTATTGCCTATAGATTAGGTTTATGCATTTATATAATGGAAGACACTAAGGAAATGTTCAAAGTATTTCCAAAGTGTACAGTGTTGGCCCTTAAATCTTTATTGAGATCACTGTTCTTTTTGATCTTGACATCAGTATACAAGGCATTATTTTGGTTTTTGCAGATGACATGAAATTTGGAATTACAGCAAATAATAAGGAGGATGATGACAGACTTAAGAGGACATAGACAGATACATGTCAGATGTGGTTTAACACAGAAACATGAAGTGATGCATTTTGGAAAAAGTCAATAAAGGCAATATGGTTCAGTTTTAGTAAGGGTGCAAGATCAAAGGCACCTGGGAAGTATGCCCACAAATCTTTAAAGACACCAGGGTGAATTGGGAAAGCTGTTAGAAAAGTATGTGGGATCCGAGGCTTTATAAATGGAGGAATAAGATATGAACGTGCTTGAGCCTCAACCTGGAATATTGTATCCAATTCTGGGCACCAGAAGCTCATTGGAGCCTGGGAGTGAGTCAAAAGGAGATCTGCAAGAATGCAAACTTCAGTTGTCTGGAGTGACTAAAGAAGCAGAGCCAGGAAGTTTAAGGGAAATTTTAATAGAGGACTTCAAGTTCATGGAAGATTTTGACAGAGTAAATAAAGAGCAATTTCTTCCATTGATAGAAGCAGTGACACCAAATACACAGAGCAGGGTATTTCGTAGTAAGACCAGAGACCAGATGAGAAACATTCATAAGTAAACAGTTTTTAATGATCTGGAATGTGCTGCTTGAATGGCTGTTGAATACAGTTTCAGATGTCAAGAAAAGAACTTGCTGTGCCACAGAGAAAATGTGTGGACGTGCGAGTAATTGGATAGGTCCTTTAATAAAGTTAGCATTGACATATGGACTGAATTTCCCCCTTCTGTGTTTTACTATCCAACAATTTTATTAACAAAATATTGTGGAAGTACTCTCAGCTAACAGTATCCCTCTTACAGGTTTACATTTCTTAATGATCTTTTCTGTATCAAATTTTTTTTTTCTGTTTCATCCCTGGCTTAAAGCTTCAACAGAGAATGAAGACCAACTCCAGTTTACTTTGGAACTCTGTATGGAATCGCAGTCTAGTCAGTCTGCTGTACACTTTTCCCCAAGTAAAGTTACAGGTAAGGCAGTATACTGGGCATAGGAGGTTTAATGCAAATTGAAGTGGAATCTTTTTAGTACCCACATGCATGTTAAAGGCATGTAATACCATTACAGAACAGCATTTCGCTTCAAAGTGATATTAGAAAATGTGCTTCGATGTGGTCAATTTCTACATTGGTGAAAGCCAGTTTAAGAGCCCGTTCGAGCCCCAGTCTTAATAAATATTTGTTCTCGAATCTTGCGCTGCAGGTCAGTGTGGAAGGTTGGAAAAGGTGAAGAAAGAGATTGTGTGTCTCAACAATTAAATACATAATGTTAAGTACATGTTGTTCAAGTGAATTGTAGTGGAATTGATATCACCCATGGGATGCCTGTAGACTATATGCAATTATTTGCATTAACACTGCATCTTTAATAGAGATCTCAAACTGCCTTGCTGAGGGCTCAAGCAGACAAGTGAGGACCCATAAGCGAAAGGGAGGAAGGATTAAAACCATGGACAAAGAGGTAATGATTAAGGACAGATTTACAAGCAAACAAGGGTGGAGAGATTTTGGAAGACCTTTTTAGAACTTTGGCTAGAGCCACCACTGCCAATAATGGGGAAAGAGAAGGAGACTGTTAAAGAGGTCAGAATTGAAGAAATAGAGTTCATGGAGAATTGTAGAACTAGAGAAAGCTATAGAAATAGTAAGGAGTATCTACAGGTCTAAATAGCAACAAAATAGTCATTTCTCTTGAGAAAAATGCCGGAAGTGTTTCAGTGTTAAAGAAGATGCACTGCTGCATGTTGTGGTTGATGTGGTTTTCCTCTGAGTATTTGCATAATGATAAATGCACATTGTTCTCCTGAACTGTTGTGGAATTGATATCTACTATAGGATTGTACTATCCCTGCCATCTCCTTAGAAGGCATATGTTTTGGTGTAAAGATGCATTTTATCTTGTCAATTATAGCTTTAGAAGATGCTTTCCAGTAAATGGGTGTGCAGCATTCACTCCAACTATTTTTCTAACATGACATCAAATTGAAATGTTAACTTTTTTTGAGCTGATTAAACATGAAGCCTTTACCAAAAATCTCAATACTTGATGCATATACATTTATAAAATATTAAGTAGTTCCATGTGAAACCTGGTGGCAAAAGCTAATTTGTCCATTCTGCATGTTGGAAAATAGTTGCCTATACGTTGACAGTCTGCTCACTGTAGAAATTACCAAGCCATCTGAAGTGAGTTAAGAATCCAAATCTTCATGATCTGATCCTCCACGTACAACCTTGAGAGAGCCTTAAATCTCACTGAAAATGTATGCACCATACCACTGTTTGTTCTTGTGAAGGAGTATTTGGATTAATATTCTTTGGGAAGTACTTTTGGTATGCAAAGGCAAGCAATAGGGATTACCAATAGGTGGCAGTCCAGTAATGTGGTTTGAAAATGTGAATGAATGAATGTATTTTGGAATAATTATAGTACTTAATTTTCTTTTCTCATTCACAGGACATGGGCATTACTGGATTGACAGGCATTTATTAGTATTAATTATCCTTGAAAAGATAGCAATGAGCTTGCTCCTAGAACCACTCCAGTCCATATGGTGTAGGTACATTCACATTGCTGTTAAGAAGGGAGTTCCAGGATTTTGACCTAAAAATGGTGAAAGAATAACAATATAATTCCACGTCAGGATGGGGTGCAGCTTGAAGGGGAACTTCCAGGTGGTGATGTATCTGCTGCCCCTCTCATTCTAGGTGGCTGAGTTCATTTGTTTCATATATGCTGTCAAATGAACCTTGGTGAGTTCTTGTAGATTCAGTACATTGCTGCCACTGTGCATCAGTGGTGGAGGAAGTGAATGTTGAAGTTAGTGGAAGAGTTGCCAGGTAACCAGGCTGCTTTGTCTTGGATGGTGTCGAGCTTGATGGTTGCCCACATCTAAGCAAGTGGGGAGTATTCCATCATGCTCCTGATTTCTACCTTGTAAATTGTGGACAAGTCTTGAGGAGTTAAGTAGATAAGTTACTCGCCAAAGAATTCCCAGCTTCAGACCTACTTTGTAACTCCAGGATGTACGTCATTGGTCCAGATCAATTTTGATCAATAGCAACCCCAGGATGTTGACAGTGAGGGATTCAGCTCTGGCAATCAAAGGATGATCATTACATTCTTGTTGGCAATTGTCGTTACTCACCACTTATCAGCCAAGCCTGAACGTTGCCCAGGTCTTGCTGCATTTGTGTATGGGCTGCTTCAGTATCTGAGCAGTCATGAATGGTGCTGAACATGTGCAATAATCAGGAAACATCTCCATTTCTGACGTTATTATGGAGTGGAGGCCAATAATAAAGCAGCTGAAAATGGTTGGATCAAGGTTACTCCCCTGAGGGACTATCCCGTGGCTGAGATGATTGACCTTAGACAATGATAACTATCTTACTTTGTGCCAGATTGACTCCAACCAGTAGTTTGGCTGTTTTTCAGTCAAATGCTGCCTTGATGTCGAGAACAGTCATTGACCTTCCCTTCTAGGGCTCAGCTCTTTTGTCTATATTTGGCGCAAAGCTGTAATGAGCGCTAAATGACTAGTGTTGTAACTGTACTGGAACAAATGGGTACAGCTCAATGAATCAAAATTAGTAATAGAATGAGATCCAAAGGAAGGGCATACAAATTGGTCAAAAGAGCAGCTGACCTGAGTATTGGGAGCTGTTTACTTTTTTGTATAGGAGAACAAAGGGATTGATGAAGATGAGGAAAATAGAATATGAGAGTAAGATTGAGAGGGACATGCCTGTAGAAGTTTTTACAATCAGATTGTATGTGAAGAGAAAAAGGTTACTTAAATGTAAATCCCTTACAGTCAGAAATGGGAAGTTTAAATGGAACATAGGTGGCAGAGCGTTTAAGTATATATTCTGGTTCCGTTTTCACAAAGGAGGACACAAGTGGACGCAGAATTCGGTGGTTCAAGAGGGCAGCTTCCCAACGCCACCTCGAGGGCAATTAGGGACAGGCCATAAATGGTGGCCACCCAGCAACACCCATTTCCCATGAGTGAATTAAAAAAAATGTAATGTCCCAAAAACATTGGGCAACACAGGATACAGTGAGAGGGAGGATTAGTTAAGAAATGGTATTGGGCAAATTGATGGTATTAAAGGCTGCTAAATCCTCAGGGTCCATTAATCCACATCCTACAATACTTAAAGAAGTGGCCTTAGAAAATGGCCTTAGAGTCGATGGTTTTCTTTCAAGATTTTACAGACTCTGGAGCACTTCCTGTGGATTGGAGGGTAGGTAGTATAACCCCACTATTTTAAAAAAGGAGGTAGAGAAAGCAGGGAATTATAGAACAGTCAACCTGTCATTGGTCGTGGGGAAAATGTTAGAGTCCATTATAAATGATTTAATAGCAGAGCACTTCGAAAACAGTGACAAGATTGGACAGAGTCGACATGGATTTATGAAGGGGAAGTCGTGCTTGACCAATTTACTAGAATTTTTCACGAATGTAACTAGTAGAATGATGAGGGAGAGCCAATGGATGTAGTTTACTTGGACTATGAGAAAGCCTTCGATAAGGTCCCACATAGCATCTAAAATTAAAGTGCATGGGATTGAGGGTAGTGTACTGACATGAATAGAGAACTGGTTGGCAGACAGGAAATGTACAACCTCTTCCATCGGGACAAGATACACAAGCTTGAACACACACACCTGCAGGTTCAGGAACAGCTTCTTCCCAACCATTATTAGACTGATGAATGGACTGTCTAAGTTCAAATAATGCTGATCTTACTAATGTTGATCTTGCCTAGTGCACACTCTGTGCAACATAACCTGTATGCCTCTGTCTAAGTTTTTTTTTTCACCCTGTGATCTGTATGTCTTTGCTTACAATGATCTGCCTGTACTGCTCATAAACAAAGCTTTTCGCAGTCCTTAGGCACACATGACAAAAAATAAATCAAATCAAATCAAATCAGTTTGAATAAACTGGTATTTTTCCAAGTAGCAAGCAGTGACTAGTGTACTGCAGGGATCAGTACTTGGTCCCCAGCTATTCACAATTTATAGTAATGATTTAGATGGTAGAATTAAATGTAATATCTCCAAATTTGGAGATCACCCAAAGCTGGGTGGGAAAGTAAATTGTGAGGAAGATGCAGAAATGCTTCTGTGTGATTTGAACAAATTGAGTAAGTAAGCAAATGCATGGCCGATGAATGTGAGGTTATCTACTTTGGCAGCAAAGACAGGTAGGCAGATTATCAGAATAACAACAAATTGGGAAAGGGGAGGTGCGACAAGACCTGGGTGTCCTTGTGCACCAGTTGCTGACAGCAAGCATGCAGGAGCAGCAGACAGTAAAGAAGATAAATTTTTTTTTTTGGCCTTTGTAATGAGAGGATTCGGGTACAGGAGTAGGGATGTCTTGCTGCAATTGTACAGTGCCTTGATGAGACTACACCTGCAATATCATGTGCATTTTTGGTCACTTTATCTGAGAAAGAATGTTGTGGCTGTGGAGAGAGTGTAGTGAGGGATGGCAGAACTAACTTATGAAGAGAGATTGGATTGGTTAGAACTATGTTCACTGGTCATTAGAAGAATGAGGGAGAAATCTTCTAGAAACCTATAAAATTCCAACAGGACTAAAAAGGATAAACACAGGAAGAAAGCTTCCAAGACTGACTGGGGAAACCAAAACCAGGCCTTCTAATTTAAGAATACAGGGTATGCTATTTAGGATGTAGATAAGAAATTTCTTCATTGGGAGAGTAGTGAGCCTGTGGAATTCTCTGCCACAGAAAGCAGTTGAAGCCAAAACATTGAATGTTTTCGAGAAGGAGTTTGATATAGTCAATAAGGCTAAAAGGTTCGAAGATACGGGGAGAAAGTGTGAACAAGGTACCGTGTTGGATGATCAGCCCGGGTCATATTGAATGGTGGAGCCGGTTCGAAAGATCAAATGGCCTACTCCTCGTATTTTCTATGTTTCGTCCTGGAGCACAAGTCTTCAATACTGTTTGTCAGATTATCACCTAGTCTCTTAACCTTTGTAGTATCCAGTGCATTCAGCCGTTTCTTAATATCATGTAGACTGACGCATTTATTGCCTTGACTTTTGTACTGATATGCTCAGTTCTGTTATTCTTTCCCTAAAGAATATTAATAAAACTGTTCGATTTTAGGTCAATCGTGAATGAGTCCTTAGTCGCCATTTAACCTGTTTTTAATTCTTAATTTATTATTTGAATTGAGATTTCACTATCTGCCATAGTGAGATCCAAACCCATGTCCCTAGAGCATTAGCTTTGATCTCTGGATTACTAGTCTAATGACATTACCACTATGCCACTGCCTCCTGTTCCTAGAAGACATTAGTACATGTGCCATCTATCACTAATATCTGCCTTTTGCTCCCTTTCTGTACCCTTAGTAACTGGATTGTGACTTGTGCATTGATAGGCTGATTTTAATCAAATGTTAACCAATCATTTTGAATCAGTGATTCAAGCTGTGTATCTATAAGTTATAAAAGCACTGCTGAGTAAGATGCAGTATTAAGTATGTAAATAAGGCCCTAATGTTTTCTGGTTTGAGATTGTATTATTTAAAATGCATATTAATTATAATTTAACTAGTTTGAGTACAATTTACTTCTTGATTGCATGTGTCTAATTGTTGAAGTCGTTCCCTGGAATCCTTTTCTTTCTCCTGTTTAATTCTTTGATCACATTGTAAAGTTCAGAACTGTAGGATTGTGATTTAAAATTAGAATATGACCTGCAGAGGTAATGGTGAATAATTCTGGATATGATGAACAAATCCCTTGGTATGCTATGGCCTTGCAGTGCTTTTGTATATTGATTTTCCAATATATATTCATTAAATCTTTCTCTCCGGTATATTACAGAAAGTGGCAACTTGCAGCAAGTCACTCCAGCAACACAAAGAGGTGAGCAAACCAGGTTGTTAATTCAATCAGGAAAAGGGCCTTCGTCCTCTTTTTCAGACCCTTAATGTGGTGATGTTTGGTTCATCAGAGGGCATTGCAGTAGGCAATAGACATCATCCATTTTTCTTTTTCTTTTCTGTGTGTTGTTTTTAGCTACCTCAGTTGATTACAGTTCCTTTGCAGACAGATGCAGCAGCTGGATAGAGTTCATTAAACAGAAAGCTCAGACCATAAGGCGTGGATCAATTAAAACAAGTAGGCGGAAGTTACAGTTTATCATGGTGATAATAATCTGAGACATGCCTATGATCCGCAGTGGTGAAGGATGGACTGTCCTACCCAACAATAGCATTGCAAATCAATGGCACACGCAATTTGAGTGTGAAAGCTGCACCTTTGTCCAGAGAATGTTTAACAGAAATTAGTTAACTTTCATTTGGACAGCTTAAACCTGGAGATGAACATGTCAAAATAGTGCATTCTGCTAAAGTAACATCTTTCACACTCTCTTGATCAATATTTCCCTTCAGCAAACAAAAGTTTCCCTTGATTTCTTTTTGTATCGTGGTACTGCCAATGCAGCCATCGCTATTAAAATGCTCCCTTGTGGGGAAAATTGAGCCTTTTGGAGGAATGCCACACTCTTTCTTTTTTTTTAAAAATCCCATTCTAGCTATTTATACCTTTTTATTTGCATGTTCTGCATGATCAGCCACTCTTTAATGTAGCCCATTGCCTGCTCCATTACTGAGCTTCAGGTGCTGAATATATCACTTTGCAGCTGCTCTGAAAAGGGGTGTCAAAGAGCACGTGAGCATCTAAACAAATTGATCTTTCACCACTAATTGCATTCTACTTTGTTCTCTGTCTCTTCCACCCATTGTAGTTGTTTCACTTGACAAAGCGAGCCCACTGACTGAAGCTCATACACGTCATCGCTCACCAGTATCATGCACAACCTCCACAGTCACTGTAGTGGAAATGACCCCTCTCTCCTTCATTCCTGGTGCAAAAATAACCAAATATCTCGGAATCATCAACATGTTCTTCATTCGGGAAACCACATCTCTGCGTGAGGTGAGCGGCAAATCTATGAAGATATCTGCTTTTGTCTCTGTGTAGTGTTGCATAATAGTCTGTGTTTTGCATTTGTACTGTGCAGTTCTCCATAAAATTGCTGCCAACATTGTTCCTTCACTCTTATTTCGTGGATGTGTGGTGGGTATGGTTTGCACATCAATAACAATAACTAAACACTGAATTAATTAATTAATTCAGAAAACAGCCCTTTGCAATGCCCTTGTTTTAATTTGATTTCAACTGTTACAGTAATATCAGAACATTATTAGGAAAGTTGCTTCTTTGTGAAGTGACAGATATCTCTATGTGCAACGGGTACTGTACCAATCCATTTACTTACATGGTGCTAGAATCCGGAGGACTGAAGTTGTAGGAGAGGTAGATTGGATGTAATGCATGGCAATTGAGTGAACTTGTTCACCGACCAAATGATTAGCTAATCTAAAAACTGATCGTCCAAACAGGCAATTAATGCCCTAGAAAACACTCACTCACTCCTTTATGCGAGGAAAGAAATATTTACAGACAGCTATGAATATTATTCTTACCTGATGGTAATTTAAGAAAAATAGTTGATTTTAATGTCACGTTATACTTGTCATGTAATGTAAATAAAAACATATTTCTGTTGGAAGATGATATCTTTGCCTTTCATCATCCAGAAATGCTGGGATCTGTGGAGCTATTTTTATAGTGTAAAGTGCTATAAGCTACTAAATGTGCATTTTTCTGTGCTAGGTATTGTCAAATACAGACAGTAGTATTCCTCATTGATTCACCTTTCAAATGCAAATATGGTATTGCTATCATCATCCATAAAGAGATGCAGTAATTTATCAAATGTATGCCAATGTCATGATAGACCCCTGTTCTGTTGCATTTGGCTCTTATTGTTGGAAGCAGTGTAGTTATTTTGTTTTTCATTGGCAACAGCTATCTGCTGTCATTCCAGCTGATGCTACTACTCGACAAGTCAGATCCTAGTATCAAACCAGGTTTGACAGATCATGTATTTAATTTTCTTTAACTGACTCCTTTCACTATCTTTGCCTTGAATTTGGGAGACAATTTGATGAGTCCCTTCCAAGTCTGGTGACAATGTTTGACAAATCTGAGAGCATAAACATTGTCAGTTCTAATAAGTTACAGATTTCTACACCTAACTTTTGATTGGTTTAAAAGTTTTACAAATTAAACCCTCCTGCTGAAGTACCTGCTCTCTAAACCCCTCTTTGGAGAGAGCTAAACTTGCTTTTGAGCTCTGATACTTTTTAAACTGAAAACAGAGCTAATGGTTTTAAATATTTGCCCTATCTGTTGTAAACCCTTCAGTATAAACATTTTTCCATTAAGTCCACAGGAGTTTATAGTCTGCTGCATTTTGACAAATGGATTTAGTTCACTATTCCAGAAAGACACTCTGACCTTGTCTTTTTTTTCAAAAAAGTTCTTCACAAAAAGATGTCCTTCACAACATTTCCTTTGTCTTTGACTTACTGATTCCAAGTTAAGCATCACCTTAGTTTTGAGTTTCTCATCCTTGCTGTCAAATCCCCCCATAGCCTTGCCTCTCCCTCTTTCAGTAACCTTCAGCCCACAATCCTTTAAGATATTTGTGCTATTGCAATTCTGGTCTCTTGAATATCCCCAATTGTGTTCTTTCCTTTATTGGTCACTAAACCGTTATTTTCCAAAACCCTAATTCTGGATCTCTCTCCTTCTTTAAGTTGATTTTTAAAACTGACCTCTTTTACCCTAATATCTTTTATTTGGTGCTTTATAATGCTTGGGTTTTTGTCATGTTAAAGAAGTTATATAAATACAAGTCGTGATTGTACATCCACTGAAGACAGCAATCAACGTCTCTAATGTCTCACTCAGCAGGATAATACCTCTGACAGTGCGGCACTCCTTCAGTACTCCGTTGAAGTGTCAACCTACATCTCTGTCTCAGTTATCTGGAGTAGAACCTGAACCACGTTGTCATGATTCCTTCAACAGTGCTTCTACCAAGTCGCAGCTGCTATCTAGGAACATGCAATTCAGCAATGGAGAAGCAGTCAGTTGTTTCAGCTGAAAGCATGTCAGTTGGACATGTGTAACATTTCAGGAAATTACCAAGAGAGAAAGTAAGGATCATAAAAGTAGTTGCACCAAACCTAGAAAAGGAGATTTGTTGCTTCAAGTTAAAAATACCAAAGATAAAACACACATTTGAAACCAATTGAGGCAAAATGAGTGCAGTTTAATTATTGTAACAACAGAAGAGGTTTTACCATTTAAAAGAATGAACATGTTTCAGAACGCAATTTTGAACTTTGTTAAATCCTGGAACCTGACTTCGAATCTTTCACTTTTATAAAAACTCCTTTAATAGGGAAGAAAGAGTGAGCAAGATAATTTTTATAGGTAGTGGGCAGTGAGTTACTGATCAGCTGTTATGTTAACAATAAGTAGATCGCAATTGAAAATAAAGACAGAAAATACTGATTTTGAATTTTGAAACTACTTTACATTTTTGCAGGAAGGCGGAGTTAGTGGATTTCTTCATGCATTCATTGCTGAAGTGTTTGCTATGGTGCGGGCCCATGTTGCTGCCTTAGGAGGGAATGCAGTTGTGTCTTATATCATGAAGCAGTGTGTGTTCATGGAAAATCCCAACAAAAATCAGGTCTGTATTCAAGTTTTAAAAATTTCTCTTCTGTTTTATAGAAATATTAAGGTTATCTTTTTAATACCTTGTGAAATGCATTAAACTACACCATGTTTGAAGTAAACATTGTTCAGATTAAACAAATATTGTTTAGTTCAGCCCCCACACCCCACAGTTTCCCCACAGATCGATTCTTCAACCTCTTCTGTAGAGGAATTTGCTGAAGCGACAAAGATATCCAGCAAATGTCCTTGGAAATCCTTGCATGCTTAATAACATTTCTGTTCAACTCTGGACTTTAAATGCCTCACTATAATTTATCTTAAAAGGTATTTAACCCAGTTCCATTTTTAACTTTGTGCTAGACAATTTTAGAATGAGGACCAGTAATGATCACCAAACATGGTCTACCTCTTGCTTGAATAGCAATAATGGCCAAACAGCTTTTAAAAAAACAGGAATTGATGTTAAATGATTTTACTAAATTAGAGACTCTGCAATCGACCAGTTGAGTGGCCTACCAAGTTTGCCACAACTAGTTTGTGTACAGCTTTTAGTGTAATGAAACTAACTGAGGTGTTTCAGAGGAGCATTAAAAAATAAAGTATGACACCAAATTGCATAAGGAGATATTATGCCAGATCGCCAAAGGTTTTCTTGAAACTTCGGTTTTAAATAGAGTCTTAAAAGATGAAAGTGAGGTAGATAATGGCAGACATGCAGGGGTGGCCATTTTCAGAGTTTGGGTTTAAGCGACTGAAGCACGGCTACTAATGGCAGTGTGATTAAAATTAGTGATGCACGAGGTAAAATCTGGAGGAGCTTATATATTTCTGAAAGTTATGGAGCTGGAGGAGCTTTTTTTCAATCATGCGAAATGGGTCTCACTGGCTAGGGTAGCATTTATTTCCCATCCCTAGTTGCCCTTGACACGGTGATGGGGAGATGCCTTCTTCAACTGCTGCAGTTCATGTGGTGTAGGTAAACCTGTGCCCTTAGGGAGGCAGTTTCCAGAAATTTGATCCAGTGGTACCAAACAAACAGCGACATGTCCTCAAGTCAGGATGGCTTGGAGGGAAACTTGCAGGTAGCTATATTCCCATGTATCAGCTGCTCTTGTTCTTCTAGATTGTGGTGATTGTGAGTTTGGGCAGTGCTGTCTAAATAGCTTTGGTAAATTTGTGCAGTACATCTTGTAGCTGGTACACACAGCTGCTACTAAGCATCAGTGGTGGAGGGAACGGATGTTTGTGAAGGTAGTGCTAATCAAGTGGGCTGCTTTATGCTGGGAGGTATCTAGCTTCTTGAGTGTTTTTGAAGCTGTACTCATCCAGGCAAGTGGGGAATGTTCCATTCCTGACTTGTGCCTTTTCAACAATGGGCAGGCTTTGGGGAGTCAGGAGGTGAGTTGCTTGCTGGCAGATTCTTAACCTCTGGCCTGCTATTGCAGCTGCAATGTTTGTAGGGCTTGTCCAGTTCAGTTTCTGGTCAATGGTAAGATGTTGATAGTGGAGTTGCAGCAGTGGTAATGTCATTAAAAATCATGGGGCAATGGTTAGAATTTTTCCTGGTGGATATGGTCACTGCCTGACATTTGTATGGCACAGTGTTATTTGTAAGGCCAAAGCTGTATATTGTCCAGGTCTAACTGAATTTGGACATTGACTTCTTCAGTAACTGAGAAGTTGAGAATGGTTGTGAAGATTGTGCAATCATCAATGGGTATCCTCACATCTGACGTTGTGCTGGAGAGAATATCATTCATGAGGCAGTTGAAGATGGTTGGGCCTAGGACACCACCCTGAGGCACTACTGCAAAGGATTTCTGGAGCTGAAATGACTTACCTCCAACTGCCATAATTTTGTTCCTTTATACTAGGTATGGCGCCAACCAACACAGAGTAACAGAGGGGCAACAACATGGAGTGATTTGTAACTTAGGGTGAGAGTTTTAACATCAAGGTGTTGCTTGATCAAGAGTGGATCATTGTGGTTCAGCAAGCCACATGGATAGAGGAATGGGCTTTAATACGAGTCAAGAAATTGACAGAAGAAATTTGGATTGCCTCAAATTTAAGTACAGAAGACACTAGGTGGAAGTGCATTTTAATAATCAAGTCTCGAGGCAAGAAGGCATAGGTGAGGTCTTTAGCAAGAGCTAAGCTAAGACTGTGTGAACTGAAGTGATGTTGAGGGATAGAAGTCAGCAATCCTATTTTCATAGTCATCGAGGTCTGCAGCATAGGAAAAGGCTCTTCAGCCCATCAATTCTGTGCCAATCAAACAAGCACCTACTATTCTAATCCTATTTTCCAGCACTTGGCCCATAGCCTTGTACGCCTTGGCATCGTAAATATTTCTTAAATGTTATGACTCGGCCTCTGCCACCACAAGCAGTAAATTCCAGATTCCCACCCTCTGGGTGAAAAAATATTTTCATACTGTAAATCTATGCCCACTGGTCATTGATCCCTTCAACACAGGGCAAAAATCCTTTCCTGTCTACCATTATTAATTCCCTGGTCTCATTATATGGGACCAACATTTACTTTAACCCTTTTTTATTGTTCTGTCATTATTGATAACAACTCTTTTACTATATATTTTTATATTTCTCTGCAACTTTCTCTCAAAATCTAATTTTTTCCCCAATTTATTTAAATGTTTTTGCCTGTCTGGGTATGTTTGAATAATCCATCCAATCTCCTAACCTGCCACCTATCATTGCACAATTTGTTTTAGTTCGATATTAGCTGTTAACCTTTCTACTTCACCACTAATGGTGGATCCATCACTTGATAGTTCTTCTTATACATCAGAGTATATCTATTCTGTATATTCAGAAATATCCCGGTAAAAGTCTGCTGCTGCAGTTTCTATTGACCGATCCTTTGAGCTAATTTGCCAATTCACTGCAGCCTGCTCAGCTTTCGTGGCCTCATAATTGCCATCATTTAAGTTCGGAAAAACAGCCTTGCTTCTGCTTGTCTCTGGCCTTTCCACTCTCGGGTCATCTGTTTTGTTTTAACTATTCCATGCATTCAGGTACAGAGCCTTTAGTTTTATCTTTTTGCTTTCTTTGCAAATTCTAATCATTTATTTATTGGTTGATTCTTGGATTCATACTCTCTATCCCTTTCTCTTATAGTCTGTTTACCATTTCCAGTATTATTACCTTTTCCTTTGGCCTTGGCTGTACTCTATATTTACCACATTTTCCCAAATTTGATCCCTGACCTTCACTATTAGTTTAAACCACTACTAAAGCTAGCTTTATATTCCACATTTTTCAATCGCATTTAAGTCTCATTTAAATTCCATCAGCAGCCGTAGTGGGATTTGAACTTGTGACCCCAGAGCCCTAAAATAACACAAAGTGCTGAAGAAACTCAGCACATCTTGCACCATCTGTGATGAAAGAAACAGAGTTAACGTTTCAAGTCTGATCTGACTCTTCCTCTGAAGAAGTCAGACTGGACTCAAAACATTAATTGTGCTTCTCTCTCCATAGTTGCTGCCGGGCCAGCTGAGCAACGTTCCCTCGCACACGGTGTTCCAGTTCAGGGCATCCAAGATTGCACAACTGAAAAGAAAAGTAGAGGGAATACTGCTGCTGAGTTTCTCCAGCGTTCCATATTTGTTTCAAATTTCCAGCATCTTCAGAATTTGCTTTTATCCCCAGAGCCTTTGTGTAGGCTATTAGTCCATTGACATTACTAATTCATCACTATCTCTGTTGTTGTAGATGGAATGATTTATGACAGTATATGGTATGCTATTATGCAGCATTTCACTGTAATTTATCAACAGGAACAAACTGCACTTGTATAATAACTCTATTGTAGGAACACATTCCCAGGAACATTGTCCAACAAACGTTGGTACTGATATTAGGAAAGGTGACCAACTATAAGAGGTTCACCTCCTTAAATTGAAAGGTAGAATAACATATTATCTAAATGGTTTAAAATTTGCAACTGTAGGGAAGCAGAGAGATTTCAGATTCCAAATACAGAAATTGTTCAAAGGTAGTGGATAAAGATAATGGAAAATAGAAGAGGGTTTAAATTATGTTACGGTTGTACATATCCCTGGTTCGACACCGTCTGGAATATATAGCATTCCAAACCAAACACTGCACATCAGGAAGAATATGTTACTCTTGGAAGGAGTTCAGCACAGGTTCATCAGAGTGATATAAGGGCTAAAGCAGTTAATTTATGAGGGTAGATTGCCTGGACTATGATTGTGTTCCCTGGAATTTCGAAGATTGAAGGTTGATTTTAAGCTGGTTGAAGGATTCAGTAGTTTCTGTTTGCCCGATATCCTCTGGTGTGAGAGTCCAGAACAAATAACTATCGTCTTAAAATTAGGACTACTCCATTCACACAAGATGTAGAGGACATTGAGAACTCCTGTCACCCAAATATCTGTTGAGGTTGGATATTCAGTTTAACACTGAAGATCTGAAATTGGTAGATTTTTGTTAGGCAAGGGTATTAAGGGTTACTCGAGACGAGTAGATGGACTTAAAATGCAGATTAACCATGATCTGTTTGAATTCAGGAACATACTGAAGTGGCTACAAGGTCTTATGTTCTAATGCCCAAAGAGGTAGGTTTTAAGGAGCATAAAGGAAGAGAGATTGAGGTTTAAGTTGAAAATTTCAATGATGACAAAATACGGAACTCCTATAGAAATACAGACCAAAATAAAGATTCTCCAGGACAAGATCTATTACACGTTCAGAAGCAAATGGACTTATTAGTGATAAACAGCATGGTTTTGTGCGGGGGAGGTTGTACCTTACTAAGAATTATCAAGTTTTTTGAGGAGATGATCAAGATGATTGATGAGGGAAAGTGGTTGATGTTCGCCTACAGTTCTGGTCACCACACTACCAGAAGAATGTGGTTACTTTGGAGAGGGTACAGAAAAGATTTACCAGGGTGTTGCCTGGTATGGGGGTGTTTAGTTATGAAAACAGGTGGGATAGACTGGGTTTGTTTTCACTGGAACGTAGGAGGTTGAGGGATGACCTGATAGAAGTTTATAAGATTGTGAAAGGCATGGATAGAGTGAACGGTAATGAGGCTTTTTCCCAGGATGGAGGTATCAATTATTAGGGCTCACAGGTTCAAGGTACGATGGGGGGAAGTTTAAATGAGATGAGAGAGGCAAGTTTTTCACACAAAGGGTGGTGGGTGCCTGGCACGCACTGCCAGAGGAGAGGGTGGAAGCAGACGCAAGAGCAACATTCAAGAAGCACCTGGACGAATACATGAATAGGAAGGGAATAGAGGGATACGGATCCTGTAAGTGAAGGCAGTTTTAGTATGGAAGGGCAAAATGTGTCGGAGCAGGCTTAGAGGGCCCACGGCCTTTTCCTGTTCTTCCTTTGTTCTTTGAACTGCTCCTTTTAGTGATCTTGTGATATCAGTCATTAACTTTTACATTAAGCTTTTTTTCAAAGAAACTATTAATTTTGAAGTTGTGTTATATGTTAGAGTTGATTTGTTGATTGTGCTGCATGAATATTTCATCTTTTGCTCATAATAGTTACATACTTTGTCTCTTTCTGTAGGCACAGTGCCTTATCAATGTAAGTGGTGATGCCGTGAACTTCTTTAAAGATGCTGATGTGGAGTCAGCATCTTCTCAGCCTCAAACAAGTGGCCTACAGATAGGGAATGGCAGCGGAGACGTCGTCACATGAAATTGGTACAGATTAATTCCTGCTGTCGCTGCCTGGGTTTCTGGAACAGATAGAAGACCATTTATCTACATTTCCAACCTCATTGGTCATTATTCTCTGTATGGATATCTGTGTTTAACTGCCTTACTGTGTTACACAGTATGTGATGACCTGTATTATCCTAGATCTGTAGACTCGATAGTCCTGGGTAAATAGTGGTCATCTTGTCTCATAATCTATTACCCAGGAGTTTAATTTTATTGACCTTGTATCATCTGGATCTTCAGATGAGAAGCGAATGTTTGCTCTAAATGTGGAGATTATATAGAAAATACTGTTAAGAATTGGCAACGTTTCTATTGTAGAAGACTTTTCAGTAAGTTTGTGAGTTAATACTTAGCACCAAGACCAAATGGAAGGGTATTAAATGGTACTGAACTGTATTTTAAGCCAATGCTGTACCTGTAAAACTGGATGTTTATCTGTTAATCCTGCTCTTTGTAATGACAAATGCAGCCTTCAATGAAAGCTTGAAGTGCCATTATCAAAATGTTATATCAGCATAGAACTTCAGTGCCAGTCTGAGAGATAAATGGTGAAACTCTATGTACATCTTTCTTTGATGTTCTAATGTAATAAGCTGCAAAAATGTAAGCTTTCTTTTAATAAGAAAATATACAGGCTAGCTGGATTCACAAAGATTGTTAAAATTAGAAAATGTTGAAAGGTTTAGGAACACACTACCTAATCAAATTTGAAGTTACCACACCCAGCAAATGGCACTGTATATTTCTGCATATCCAAAAATGGTATTTTTGTAATTGACAGGATGGAGCTTTAGGAGGATGAAAGCTTTTAAAAAGCTTCTCGATCTGTGACTTGTAATATTGCAGAACCAGAATGATACAGGAGACATTCGATTGTGGGATTTTTTTTTTTTTTTGGAAATTCAATGCATAATTGAAGACTTGAATGTACAGAACACTTAATTTGTAAAGGTTTCAACAATTCACTTGCTTTGCACACTTCAGTGCATGAAAATAAAATTCTGTGCTGTAGTTTTGCGGATTGTACCAAGGATACAATAGCATGAAAGAAAATCGTTCCCTTAATTCCTCTGGGAAATAAGTATTTTATGAATATTTATAAATTGCTTTTTTTGAAACCAATGCAAGTGGTCCAGTTTGTATTTTCAAACTGAAACTGAATGGGTACTGTGCTGGTAGGTACGTTGATCACTGATGCTTACGAAAGAATATCCAATGTACAGAACTTCTAAATACTATTCACTCTACTGCAGTGAGCTGAACGTGAAATGGAGTCATTTCCTGCCTATATGATTTTTAAAACCAAGTCAGGTTTCAAAACATTTTAATGTGTGAATATAATGCAAACTGATCATTCAGAGATTCGGCTTTTTAAATAAACTGCTGGGTCATAACCACCTGTTAGACATTTTACCATTTTTTTAATGGACCAGAGTTGTGTGTGAACAGTGCGGCGATGAGCAGGCATTGACCAAAAGCGGAGAATGTTTGTTGATTAGAGTGAAAAATAAGCTATTGATAAGATGCAGTACATCTGCATGGATTTCTCTAGATCTCTCAATGTAGGCATCTGTTGAAATTTAATGTTCACCTTTAGCACTGTTAAATTAGGATGGAAGAAGCAGATTGACGCCAGTGACACAGTACCAGTCAAGTTAACCAATTTGTTTGGGATGATGTCAGGTTTTACTGGCTGCTGTCACTTAAATCCAGGCCAGCAAGATTCCTCCGGCCTGCTCCACAGTGTGGGGCAGGCTCATGTTGTTGTGCACCAGGCCGGTGTGACTGTATCTGGGGCTGGGTGCGGTGTGGGGCAGGGCCGTGTCACCGTGCGCCAGGGCTGGGTGGGGGAGCGGTGTCACCGTGTGCTGGGGCTGGGGGTGGGGGGGGGTGTCTGGTGCGGTGTCACCGTGCGCCGGGGCTGGGGGCAGTGTCACTGTGGCACATCGCATGTTCACTGAAGTGAGAGAGAAAAGTAAATGATACTATCATGCCACAGAAAGGCAGTGATTATTGGATGATGCGTATTGTAGCTTGGTTTCTTTTTCTCAAAGTTAAGGAGTTAGCCTAAAGAGCAGATGAGTTATAACTGAAGTTTTTTTTTAATTCACTTCCTTGAATTTAAGTAATAACAAAGAAGATGAGAGGCACCCTTTTACACAGAGGGTGGTTTGTGAATGGAATAGACTTCCAGAGGAAGTGGTGGATTCAGGTCCAGTTACAAAGTTTAAAAGGCATTTGGATAAGTACATGAATAAGAAAGGTTTCAAGGGATATGGGCCAAGTGCAGGCACGTGGGACTAGTTGGGCCAAATGGTCTGTTTCCATGCTGTAAAGTAAGTAGTTATCTTTTTTAAGTAGTATATTTTACCTGAGAGAGGAATGGCAGGGCAGCTCCTGACTCTCGGAGTGCACATCCTGACTCATGGGCAACCTCCAGGCCATTTCCTATGTTCAGGCTAACCACATGTGCAGGAAGTGTTGGAACTTCAGCTGCAGCTGGCAACACTCTGGTATATTCTATAATGTTGAGCATTTTGTTTATATCGCATTTATAAATGTGGTCACCCCACAAACTGATAATGCAGAGGGAAGCGGTGGTTGGCCACCAGGCAGTCGATAAGAGGCAGTTAGTTCAGGAGTCTCTTTAGTACATCTCTGACTCTAAACTGTATTCATTCCTGAATAGTAAGCGTTGGTTCACCTGGGGCGTGCAACCAGAGCCCAGGAACCGCAGCTGACTCATCTATGCAGTGGGCCACAAAGACAACAGAAATAACAAGACTGCTAGAGGACTCAATAGTTAGGGAAGCAGGCAAGTGTTTCTGTCACTGCAGACATTTATCTGAGGTGATATGCTGTCTTTGTAGTGCTACGATCAATGACCTCACTGATTCCAAAGCACCCTGAGAAAGAGTGAGAACGAACAGTTGTCACCAAATTGGTACCAATGATGTACATGGAGGAATGATTTCCTGCAGTCAGAATTTAGCAAGCTAGGTGGACTATTGCTATCATTTAACATTGCTTGCTAATCTCTGGATTCCTCCCAGTACTGTGTGCAACTGATGTGGAGGCGTCACTGAAATCAGTAATGAACAGATTGAGCAGATAAATGCTAATGCAAATAGGATTTATGTAAATTTGGCAGCGTTGTGGGAACCAGGAGGTAATATGGGAGAGCACCGCCATGATAAAAAAATGTTGGGCGTGACAAATAGGACTAGAATAGGAAATATTTAGTTATTAGATGGGCTCAGTGTAAGAGGCAAGTAATAAAATCTACATTAGACTATGGGGAGGCAATGGCCTAGTGGTATTATCATTACTGTTAATCTAGAGAACCAGCGTTCCAGGTTCGATTCTTGCCATGGGAGATGGTGGAATTTCAATTCCGTAAAAATGTGGAATTAAGAATCTAATGATGACCATAACTCCATCATTGATTGTCAGCAAAAACATATCCAGTTCACTCGTGTCCTTTAACTGCTCTCTGGGCAATTAGGAATAGGCAATACATGTCAGTGACACTCTCATTCCATGAATAAATGAAATAATAGGATATGATGCATGTATGTTGGTGATGGTGGTTTCTTTTGAAGGGTACGTGCTGTCATATATTTGAGATAGCAATTTTGTGTTGAGAATATTACCCTGATCAAGTTATTGACACCTCCTGAGACAGGTATGAACTTCATTTAGTTGTGAATGTTGCTGAGTACCTAACATCAGCTAATGACCACACTTCTGGTATCACAATAGACTGAAGTTCAGCGAGGAACCAGATGAAGATGTTTGGCTCTGGTCTGTTTCCTGTACGTGGCCATAATGAGTGCTTTTGACCATTGTCAACCATGAATATCTGCCAATGTGTAAAGTTCAGTTCAGCTACTGGAGGGTTTTCCTCATGGCCCCCAGTGATATCCATCTTACTCCATTTCATTTATGTCTGGTACTTTTGGGTATGGCTTTGATATTGAGGGCAGCTGTGCTTACTACTTCTGGTACAAAAACAAAGTTGCTGGAAAAGCTCAGCAGGTCTGGCAGCATCTGTGGAGGAGAAAACAGAGTTAACGTTTCGGGTCCGGTGACCCTTCCTCAGAACTGTCTGCAACTAACGTAGAACATAGGAGCATGAGTAGACCATATGACTCACTCACTCCACCATTCAATCTGACCATGGGTGATCCTCCCTCTCAATGTCATGGTCCTTTGTAACAGTGTGTGCAGCCCAATACCAGTCAATGTCAGGGATCAACAGTTTTATTAGGGAATGATTTGGCTGGTCGCATGACATCTCCCCTAAATAGAAACGGACAATCCAGAGAGTACAGAGCCAGCAGCAAGTAGGAGGAAGGCTGGCACTGAGAAGTTTGGAAGCCCTACAGGTGGCAGTCAAACCTGTGAAGTTTGGAGTAGCTCAGTAAATGTCAGATGCGGGCATACAAAATAGAAGCAGAAGTAAACCTCTTGGCCCCTCAAGCCTGCTCCACCATTCAGCAAGATCATGGCTGATCAATTCCACGTTTCCATTGCCCTCTGGTAACCTTTGACACTCCTGCCTAACAAGAATCCCACCTCTGTCTTAATCATATTCAAAAGCGTGTCTGCACAGCCTCCTGAGGCAGAGAGTTCAAAAGCCATACAACCCTTGGAAGGAAAGCATCTCTCCTTCTCATTGATCTGAAAAGGAGGCCCTTCATTTTAAAACTTTTTTTTAATTTCAAAAATATACTCAATTCATAAAAAAACTATACATACATAATGACAAGTGCAATTTTGTTTGGGTACAGTAGCATGTGAGGAAACAAGCAAATTTTGGAGTTTCACTGTATCCAATAAACAAACCAAAGGCATCTCTCACTTGTACAAGACTATATCTAAATATGTTTGGGACATCGGGAGAGTCTGATAGCTGGATGGCCCCCCATTTAACTTTGGCAGAATGATCTCAGACAGTGGTCTTTCCCCATTGTGCCTTGGCAGCAGTTGCCCCAAGCTTTAGTGTGTCCCTCAGCACACAGTCCTGGACCCTGGAATGTGCCAGTCTGCAACACTCAGCCAGGGTCAACTCCTTGCTCTGGAAGGCCAACAAGTTTTTGTCAGACCAAAGTGCGTCTCTCCCTGAGTTGATGGTTCTCCAACTGCATTGGATGTGTGTCTCGGTGAGTGTCCCAGGGAGCAGACCATAGACCATAGAGCACACAGCTAAACCAAAATAGATTTGGAAGGGGACCCCTTACTCTTTTAAACTCCAGTGGAAGCAAATTCAACCTGTCCAATGTTTCCTCATTAAACAACCCACTCATTTCAGGTATCAATTCTTTTAAACCTCCTCTAAATCACCTCTAATTTATATCCTTTAAATAAAAACACTGCATGCAGTCTCTGCAGTGCCCTGTATAACTGAAGTATGAGTTCCTTTCTTTTACATGCAGTTCCTAATCAGATAGAACCTTCCCTAATCGGGGAAATTTTAGAAAGTTAAAACCAACATGTCAACTATCTTACTAACCAATTCTTTTAAGACCTTATGATGAAGTCCACCAGGACCTGGGGACCTGACAAACCACAGCTCCATCAGTTTGGTCAAAACCACTTCCCTAGTGATTGTGAGGGTCTACTGATGAAGGGTCTAGGCCCGAAACGTCAGCATCTCTGCTCCTATGATGCTGCTTGACCTGGTGTGTTCATCCAGCCCTGCACCTTGTTGTCCCTAGTGATTGTAACATTTTTGACTTCCTCCCTCACTCCCGTTTCTTAGTAGGCATCTAATTCTGGGATGTTGCTTGTATTGTCCATGTTGAAGACTGATTAATTCATATGCCATTTCTTTAATGTTCCGTTATTAATTCTCCAAACTCACTTTCTATACAATCAAGGCTCACTTTGTTGGCATTTTTTTTCAAATGTCCAAAGAAATGTTTGCTGTTTTTACATTTCTAGCTAATTTTTTTCAGGCTCTAACCATTCTCAACTTTACTAATCTTTCAGTTATTCTTTACTGCTTTTAATATTTCATGCAATCTTCCGACCAATTTGCACACTCATAGATTTTTTTGGAGTTTAATACTATCTTTATCCTTTTTAGTTAACTATGGATTGTAGGTCTGCCCTTTGGAATCTGTCTTTCTCATTGGAATGTATCAATTCTGTATATTCAGAAATATCTCCATAAATATCCACTTCTGTAACTCTAATGACCTGCCCCTTAATATAGTTTATACTGGGGTGGCATGGTGGCTCGGTGGTTAGCACTGTGGCTCAGAGCACTGGGGACCCCGGTTCAATTCCACCCTCAGGTGACTGTCTATGTGGAGTTTGCACATTTTCCCTGTGTCTGCGTGGGTTTCCTCCAGGTGCTCCAGTTTCCTCTCACAGTCCAAAGATAGGTTAT